CACTTCAAAATTAAATGTTCGATGGCATGAGTTAGAGACGAAAAGATCGACAGAGAACAGCAGTCATAGGGTTAATTAAAATGCACGTTTCATTCGACTGACGTTCATTTATTCCCAAAAAAACATGCTTTAGGTTTCTTTCAAGCATAATTCGCACAAAACTCCCTCAAACAGGTGCATACTTTCGATTCAATCGTTTAATTATTTTAGCTTTATATGTAGTACAACTAATGCATTGTAGCACACGCAAAATTTAAGACAATACAGCTAGTAAGAGACACCGATAGGAAATGTGGACACGTATGAAACTTAAGAATTTGCTCATTCATAAACGTATTTAGCAGAATATGATCAAGAAACGGCAAATAGACGTTTGGTAATCCAATCGGTAACGTAACTTCTCGTTTAATTCATATGTTTAATTCATATAATTGCATATGTCCGTAAATTCCCTTGAAATCATCACAGTAGAACCAAAGTAATTTATTCAGAAACTTTCAGAAGCACATCTTTCTTTACTACCAACCCTTGTTTGAATTATCGACACCGCAACATCGGAGTATCGGTATTTAAAAAAAAAAAAAACCCCCACCTGTGCAGTCACGAATTTAGACCTAACAACGAAAAATGAGTTTGAACACTCGTGTGATTCACCTGCCTCCTGTCTAAAGATTCGGATGCCGATGTATTATTCAACAGACTGATTCTAACAAGCCTAGGCGTATGTGCTGACCTAACAGAGTGGCAAGCAATCACTGTATGTACAAGCTTGTGTTGTCCATGCTAGATCTCCGCACCTCAGTCCAGTTTGTGTTTTCATCTGCAAAAAACAAACTGACGACCATTTGTAGTGGGTGACTAACACGTGTGCCACTTACTAACTGGCACGGGGAGCAGAGCAACCCCCGGGTTGGATAAGGCAACACATCACACATGTTTCTAGTTCACCACAAAACAAAATCATGGGCAGGTGGTCTTGAGAGAATTTCGGATTATTTCTCTCCCTGTTCGTCTTTCAGCTTGCCCTTAGGAGTGCTATAGCCAACGAGCGCATAAACCGAAGATTTGGATGGTGGATATGTTCCTTCAATTCTGGTTCCCATGTCCGTGTTTTGATCTACTACGGACGGATGCGAATACATGGTTTATGGTTAGAACTCTCAAAGTCAGGGAAGCCCTTGGATGTGGAAAACATAAACTCTAAAATTACGGTGATTATTCTTGATGTTTTTGTATGAATTTAACCACCGTAAGTAGAAAAAGGACGACTAACACACTAGTTTCGATGTTTGGTCATACCTCACCCGAAGATTGCCGTTAGAAGGTCAGGGTTGAGAAAAAAGGGAATTGTTGAGTAAGAATGATGGGTGAACCGTCCTTAAAAAAATGACCGTTCTCTTGCAAACGTTCCCAACCTATTGAAGAATAATCAGCTAATATCGTGGCTTCAAGCACTTGCTAGAATTCAACAATGGGAAAATACTTGTAGCCCTTTTGGAAGGCAAACCACTTTTATTTTCGCTCTTTTAAACGATTTGGAGTTTTAAATATACTGGTTGACCAAGCCATCGAACTCGTTTCTGAGACAACCGCTCAAAGGATAGAGACAAAATTAAGTTAGTTCCACGGATCACAATTTTACAGTCACTTGGCGAAATGAAACCGTTTGCGAATTACATTGGTGTTAACTGGAGACTCGGCTAAATTACTTGTTTAAGCCATCTTCCATTTAACAGCAGAGTAATTTACAACTTAGTTTACTTTTCCATTCGCGCATAAGATAAAGTTCAATTAGAACGCTTTTTTGAAAGAAAGTGGACGAGTCCCAATAGTAGTGCGCTGTCGAAGTGTTTTTATCAGCCATATGAGTAGTGTGTTCTGTAAGAATCTTCTCTGGTAGGATTTATCAGACCGAAAACGGCTACTATTTTAAAGGTTGTCACGGAAAACTAACGCCAAGCTGGTGCTATTTTCTCATTATTAACCACTAGTTCTTGTAAAAGCTCTGAGCTAATAGTTCATTTGTTTAAGTTAGTTTTCCACTGAAAGAGGGATGTGCAAAATTGAGATAATTGCTAACTGCGATCTACAGTATTCATCTGTCCAGCTAGAGGTATTCTCCAAAGAATAATGTCACACCTCTCTCAAGCGTGCATCGAAATTCTACGAGTAACGACGAAGTGGACTTTATCCTTGAAACAAGACACAAATCAAATGGAGAAATACTTTTTTTTGATGGAATGGGAAAGCGTGTGCCAAAAGACATGGAAACAACGGTAGTTGGGAGTTTTGATTTGAAGATGGCTTTGATTTACAGCCCAATTCATAGCCCGATAGAACCAATAATTTCGTGGCCAGACAACCAACAATTTTGGCGTTTCTAAGATTTCTGTTTTGAGTAATTTGTACTTCGAAAATTGCACGACCGATTTGCCGTTTTCTCTTTTCCATTCAGCTCATTGAAGATGAGGACAACTTTCACAGCAACCGCTTCAATATCACGTGAATTATTTATCTATTGACATATTGGCATGCCAATACCCTTGCGACATAAATCTGGTATACCTAACAGTCCTAAAATGTATCAGGCCCTGAATGTTATGGTAGTAAGGATTGATGGCTTGTGCTTGGTTTCGCTACCAGGGGACTATTCTCACCCACCAAGAAGATGAGGTGTTGTGCACTCTTCTTTCAGGTACTACCGGAACTCGTGGTAGAAACAGTTACCGAAGTTCGAAAATTTTAATGACGACCTCAACGTTTGCCATCTCAAACTGAGAAACTAAGTGACCACAGAAAGTTTCGTCTAACACCGTCATTAATTCAAGGAGTAAGGAGGTTGGATCGGTGCACTTAATGCAGGTTTACAATTGACGGCTTGCAGTTGCTATTTGCATACAAAAATAAGGCTTAAAATTACTCAGTTATCTCTGTTTCCTCTATCTCCATCAGTCAACCCAACTTGGGAGAAAAATCCGGCGTTTGATATGTTTGCAGTCAGAAAAGGTGACAACTTGAAGCCGACTTTAAGTCGACTTAAAGCTCGCATCTCTTCGGATTTAGTGGTGTAGCCTGCAGGCTTCAGCATTTCCAGCAGCAAATTGTGCAGGAATAAAGAGCAAATGTAAAAATGGGTAACCTTACAAGCACATACTTTTTGGTTCATTTCAAGCAAAGGCTTATGGCGAACTTTTGCAACCAGCCACGTACCGGATGCGCCGCATAGTCATTATTTTGTCTTTCTGGAACTTTGTGAGAGAAGCCACTTAAAAGAACAAACTCAGTTTTTTCCATAAAGTAAACTACTCACAGTGTTGCTGAAAACTCTTTGACACCCCACGAAAGGCTGCGCTCTTATTGTCCAATCAGGGTTCAGGTAGAACATAAAGTTGAGGGAATCTCGCGGACTGCGCTTACCTGAAGAGCCCCAATAAGAACAAACGCAGTCGTCGACAGTTGAAGAGTTTTCAAAAAATGGTTAGTAGTTTCATCTATGAAAATATATTACAGGTAGCAATCGAACTATGAGGCGGACTTTATGCAGCACACTCAGTTGAAGAGTATCATAAACGAGAGGTTAATTGGATTATTTCGTGAAAACCGAATGAGTCTATTTGCAAAACTTGATTTTTATTCTCCACAGGCAAACAATTAGATAAGCCACTACCAGGTAATCCTAAGATGAATTTTCAGGCCTTTGATTCCTACTTCTACTGGTTGATGATCAGGTTCGTTTGACTGGACGCCCCATGCCTGTGGGATAGCACCATATCATGACAGAAACTTGTAGCCGTTTACTTTCTTTTATGCAAGTGGTTTCGGTGTGCATAGGTTACAACTGGCATTCATCGCTCTTTGGTTTTTGAGGAAAGGATCTGAGATTGCTTTGACTATTCTAAGGCATGATAGCAACCAAAATTGCTCTGCTATGTTCAAGTAGAACATAAGTTTGACGGAAACTCGGGGACTTGGCCTACTTGATGAGCCCCAAGAAAAGCGAAAAAAACGGTCATGGACTGTCCAAGAGTTTTCAGCAACCTTGTGAGTAGTTTCCTCTATGAAAATGCTCTGCTACTATTTCTGTTAACATCTGAGTGTTAAGTCACGTTTTGATCCCTCTCTCTGTTCTGAGACGTGGTTATCTTGCTGCAACACACAGGTTTGTCAAAATCGGCCTCGTCTACCAAACGCTTATCTAAAGTAAGTAGCGGTTTTGAGGAAACCAACAGAATACCAATAAATAGGTAAGTTTGCTAGCTGTCTATCCATGATTTCTGGGTTTTTAATAATCAAAGTATTTCAAATCGCTCTCTCTAAATGAACAAGTCCGACGTAGTGATTGGCACCAGTTTAAACGTTCTTCTCATAATCTTTTGACAAACCCCAAGGTTATATGGTGCATTTAGAATGTGTAAAAGTACCCCTTATGTTTTCGTTTTAGACTGCCAGCATACTTCTCGATAGACGATAATTTTGTCCTGGTAGGAGCGGCCAGACCTGCAGTATGGATTACAGTGATATGGTTTCGTAAGTGAGCGTTTTAAACAAAGCCCCGTCATTTTAGCCAAAATTGTTTCAAAGTGTCCTTTCTATGGTGAAGCCTTAGAAGAGAAAATTTCCGTATATGTATGTATATATATGAATACTGGAGAAGACTTGTAGTTTACTAAAACAGGACATGAGTACCAGCGATTTTTTGACGCAGTATAATTCATGCTGCACTTCGTATCATTACAGCTGGTCAGTTGAGAAGGCATATTCTCAAAGTAGAAAGCTCTCAAAACCAACTGACCAGTTACTATAGATCAATACTTTATTTCTTTGCTACATAACTCCCTGGGTATTCCGCGTGGATCAGTCCCATGGATATGCTGCCCCGATTCGTCGATTTACAAGCAACGCTAAGGCCAGAACATCTGATCAGCTCATAAACTTGTTCACTGACAAGGAGCGTCAGCTAGCATTTAGCAAACTATATAGTGGAAATATCAATGACTCACCACAGGCTCCAAACCGATAGACTGGATGATATCGACAGCCAGCTCACCAACTGTGCAGACAGGTGTGAAGAAGCTCCGGCTTAGACCGTCGACAGACCGAAATACATGAACAGAGTATGATGAGCTGAGGTTTCTCTGAAACCAAACTTTGATAACGAACATCGTGGTCATCTGGACAATGAGCTGAGTATTGACAAAGCGCAAAGCAGAGCCGGTTCCGTTAGTTTTTAGTCCGTATACCTCTTCATGTTCGGCAGTTGTTTGCGAGCTGACAAAGGGATTCTTTGGAACAAAAAACCCGTTTTCTGATAATTTCAGTTTAGAGGCTACCTTGACTTGAAAAACAAACAGGATCCAGTGGCCTACTGTTATGATGAGTGTAAGACAGTCAGTCGCAGATATGATCCATAATGAAAATGAGGGAACTTCGATGAAGTTTGAATCACCAAGATTTATCGAAGTGTATATTTGTCCTACCCTGGCAAGCGATGACTTAGATCGCCAGTTTCTGGACTTCAGGCATTGCATTGGCCAATATCTAATTCCCGAACGAGTTACCAATAGAAAACAACACAATAACGCAAACCGAACACCAAGGGAAACCATGTTTGCACCACTGAGTACTTGGTATCCGCCATCCGTTCCTGCATATTGCTTTCCTCGTGTAAAGTGTGCTTCATCCAAAAGGACCATCAATAATGGAGTTGCAGCCGTCGACAGCACTGTGAATATATATACAAGGTGGAACATGCAACATTTTCGCTCTTTTCCCTGGCTTTTCATGTGCAGCATCAACTCCTCGCTATCAGACCATTCCTCCGCGCTTCTGGATGTGACCGGCCTCGAGCCGCTTTGCACACATCGAGGTGTATTGGGTGATTCTTGACCAGCATCTGGAGAAACGTTACTTTCGAAGCCAGTCAAACTCAGTTCGGATGACAGTGGATGTGACATTCGTCCCGGCTTCCGCCGACTTCACGAGTTACTTGAAGGATACATGTATGAAGAACACATGGAATCAATTATTCCCTCCTACTCTGTAACTACATATATTCCCGAACAGTCTTGTATTTATCCGGTCTTTGAACGTTCATCCACGCTCTTCCATATTCACCGGGCTAGTTGGCCAATGGTGTGTTAGCCTGCAAATGACCTTGATAAGAAACTTTCTCATTGGTCTGCATAGTTTTCCGCACAGACGTTTTCAGGATGTCATAATGTTCCTTATTCAGGCAGAGGTTTTGTGGCTGCAGTGGTTCGTTGTTGTTAAATTTATTGAGATTCTCTCAAGTATACACATACAAATTTTGCTTTGTTCTCATTCTTCTCGGTAGTTCTGGTGCGGCTAACATGCGAATAGCATGGATCGGCACTCATAACAACTCTACTAGCAATAACAATAAAAAAGACGACAGAAAAAATGCTCGTTAGGTGAAAAGTGAACTTCGAGGCCACAATCGATCTGAAGACCGTGTGTCCTTTTTTATCCTGACGTGAAAAATGTAACTTGCGGTGTCTGACACCTTCTAAACTACACCTGACATTTTTTGGTCTGCTTCGGCCGTGGTAGAGATCTGCGAGTCATTAGTGTGTCCTACAAAAATGCCCCAACGAGAACGGTTTTTAAGACGTATACTTTGAGCTTTTATAAAGTTGTTGGCAACGGGTGGTATGCATCTCTGCAGTGTTAGGGCATGATCTTTGTCAGTAAGTTGACATGACGCACAAGAGGTGGCACTTCACGTCATTCAGTTACTTGTAACCAGTTCTTCTGCATTTTGAAAAAAGCGCCTTTTCATGAAGGCTATCCTTTGAACAAAGAAGATAGAGTGTTAATTTACTTGTCAGTGTTCATTGGAGAAGGTGGACATCTGAATTCCTTCAAAAAGATACTCCGATGGCTCACTGAATATAACTTAAGATAGGTGGGAAACAAATTTTACCATTTTGTGCATTACATTCAGAGAGCTACATTTGTCGTAGAAGTAATTACCACAAATTCACCGTGACTTTAGCTTGTCGTAAATTGGCGTGTCCATCAAATTATGCCACAAAATTATATTGTCACTGTTTTTTACCAACATGTGGTGCTTTCTGTTCTCAAACAACTAAGTCAGAAGTGGAAGCACAAGTCTGTCTACCAAACTTGAGCGGTCAGTTATTCTCACGAGCACGTGAAAAGCCCAGGATAGAACTTAATGAATATCCTGATTCACATTGCCTGTTTCCCTGGTGTTGGCTCCCACCAGTGTAAGCTTGCTTGCTCTGTATTCTGTTGTCATACCCGCCTTATTTCTCTTGAATGGACATAGTCAAATCGGTAGTAGCTCCATCTTCTGGTTTTTTATGACCTGCATGATACAGGGTCAGTGACGGCAAAGGATCGAACAATACCTTGCTGCTAGCTACTGCCACAATATGCCCTTTGATGAAAAGTTGAAACTTGAGTACAACGAGTAAAACACGGCCATGCTAGCCAGCTAGACAACAAGGTAAGCACTTCATTTCGCGTCCAGCTTAGTTTCCAGGTCCTCACCTTTCATTCGTGTAACGAGAGATTTCGACAGATTGCACGATCGTGAAGGCACTGAGCCAGAGAGGCGTTATTTCATGCAGCCTTGTTGTACGTTAATAGTGGACAAAACATTACAAAGCTTCTTGTCTCTGTTGCGTGCTGCAGTGAGCATGATGCTTTCAAGGCCACCAGACATTTTTACCTATTCTTGCCCTCTCTTATCCAAGATGGCTCAGCCGTGGTCAGGAAATCCACCCGAATTGTTGAGCTGTGACTCAAACGCCACTAAGGTCAAAATTAGTTGGAAGATGCGCACGGGCGAATTGATGTTCATCTGTGAGTTGCAAGCTTAAAGGTCATGTAATCGAGTTTTCAACTAACACTGACGTTCACTGGCAATATTCATACCCAGTCGGCAGTTAACATGCATTGACTAAAGAATAGCACGTGATTAATCGGTGTTGGAGCTTGAACAATGAAGTATTGAAGTTCAACGAAATGAAAGTAATTAGCATAGGGTTTCTAACCAAACCGAATGCTTTATAAAAACAGTTGCTTAGTAGCAGTTTGGACGTCCGTCAAAAAGACGCTTGTCAGAAACTATGTAGAGTTAGTGAAAAACTACCTGGACAGGTACAAAACCACCAACGAGGAACACATTTACTCAAATGTTACACATACCAAACACAGAGAAAGACTTTTGAACTCAAATGAGTTCAAAAGCTACTTCACTTTGTCCCTTTGAGGTTTGAACGCGATCTTTCAGAAGGGAACACTCGAATGGACAGATTTTAAAAACACAGGGAATCACAAATGGAAAAAGCAATGCACGAAATTGTAGTTTCGGATGCACGGCTGGGATGGCTTAGCTTAATACTGGCATATACATAGTAAATGAGAAAATTTTCGGTGGTTAAAGAATGTGGCTGGAGAGATACTCTTATTTTCAAAGAATATATTGAATACACTGAACAATGTGCAGCCAGCTGGGTTGATGAATACCATAAAAGACAGACAATTTTTCCATGACTAAAACGTGGCTGAACTGATACCGTCATTTTTAAAGAATATATTGAATATACTGAACCATGTGCAGCCGACGGAGTTTAAAAATACCACAAAAGACAGACTCAGGTCGGATTCGGCTGAGTATCCGGTTACTACCAACTTGATTTGCAAATAAGTTTATTTCATTAGTTGTATACAATTTGCTGTTGAAAGAGAACAACAGGATGACAAAAGCTTGGGAGCTGTGCTTCGCTGTTATGCTTCAAGAAGGACAAAACGACCATGAGCTCCCAAAAGGTTTCTAGAGCCCTTTAAAAAGTAAACCTCTTTAAGAAAACTGAACCCTAGTTTCATTTCGATTTGGGTTTATCAGACATTTCTGATTCTTAGACAGTGAACCAGTTACTCAACTATTTGAATGGCCAACGGTCCTACGGCAAGTTGGGGTCACATCTGTAGCGTTTACGATATTTGTTGGAAAAGCCAGGTTAATATGATTTCGCCCGTGGTTTGTATCCAGTAAGCTACAAATTTTTGCCTCTTCATACCTGGTAGCGCAGTGCTAAGTGCGTGCAGGATACAAACAGCGTAAACTTCAATGATATCCAAGTCCAAACTTGTTCGTATGTTTTTGCTCTGACGTGTATGCTGAACAGTACAGTCTTTTTTAAAACCAGATTATTCACCAGTCCATCGAAAATGTCTCCATCTTGTAAGGTCCTGTCCATATTTTGCCGATAGTTTCTTTCATAAAAGCCTCTGAAGGGCAATGTTTTTTTTTCTTCGGAAGACTCATCCATTTATTCGATGGACACAGTCGTATTTCCACCCCTAGCATTCTGGAAAACCACTTTCATCACCGAGGTGCCCTTATATAATCCGATGTTGAATTCATGACTCAGCGCTTCCGCCAAATCATATGCATTTTTCTCAACAAATAACCTTATTTGCAAACAACTTACGTTTTGACAGGAGCAGTGCATTCAGTTAAAGCGGACTATCACAAACAGGAGAGTTTGCTGGATTCACTGGAGTTTCTTGTGAAAACCAAATTCTCGAGAAGATTAGAGTATTCGTCGAATTATGTCCAGTTTGGATTCAAGAATAGCACAAGAGAAACTCGGGGACGGCACCGACCTGATAAGCCTTAAGAGGCGCAAAACCGGTTGTTAACATTCGAAGTGTTATCAGCAACACCTTGAGTAGTAAGCTACGTATGTACAGTTGATAATCTTAGTGAAGCAAATTAAATATTTTGACGCAACCGTGGATACGCCTACTAACTTTCTGCAAGCAGAATAGAAAAATCATCACGGAAAAGGTTACAAGCATATGAAGATCAATGGATTGTTATTGTTTACTTTCGAGAAACATCGGGGAAAGTTTAATTTGATTTTCACTCCTGAAAAACATTTTCTCAGGGAAGACAGCTTGCCACAACTGGAATATACTCTATATTGGACCTCATGCCAGTAAATTTCGTCGGAACACTTGGACAATGCTTTTTATTTAAATGTGCCTGGTTGGAATAACATATAACAGTTAAACTCTATTAAACAGATTAGGAGGTATAGTGCCGATAGGTACTCGAGAAGAAGGGGAAAGCAACTCAATGTGTTCCTTACCTTTCAAACAAAACTAAAAACACGAGAATGGTAAAATGCCAAAGTGGCCCTGAAGCATATCATGATTTATTCGTTGACTACTAGCAAGTCATTGAAACAGGAAAAGCATTGAAAGTTTTGGGTGCATTCGGACGTTTTGACTCAGGAGAAAGGTAACGGAGTGACAGAATTTATCACCCGGTCTCTTAATATGAGCCTTAACCTTATTTAATCTAGTGGGCTATCTGCCATTTCTATCTTTTCAAAAATTTCATGGTTGGAAGCTTCAGAACACAACAGGATCGGCATTAGTCACCGACAGGAACTACCGTACACTTTCGTTTCTTGGCTCGCCTAATAGACTAAACATATAGACAATACGTTGTGGGCGGTAGGTACACACCGACAACATAAACCGTTTAAGGCAACACCTCGAAAAAGTGACAGACTTCGTAAACATTGAAAAAGTCTAAAAAGATTTCACATTCTTTCCACAAATTAAGGGATCTCTGGATCGCTTTCCTGGGTGACTAATGTGGAGTCTGACGGTAAGTATGGTCACAAAATTATACAGCATATGGCACCAACAAAGTTATTTCACCTAGTTAGTCAGTTTATCTAAAAAAACGTCAACAATTTATTAGTTTTGGGGTCAAACTGTAAATGTTAAAGTTACCTGTGATGCAGAATAGAACTGGGGTCAATCAAATGCAGACCAACAATAAATTTCATATAATTAACTTCTCCCCCAGTAAATCTGCACTTCTGATAGCGCGGCCCCAGACAGCCTTGCATACTAGCGATACAAAGCCAGTCTCTTTGATAGCATTCTCCCAAGCCGCTTAAAACTTCCGAAAAGTTTAACCTTGTTTGTTTGGCGGTGACGGAGAAGCATGCCTTCCTGAAAAAATCATATT